GCAGTTTGTGGGATTTACTCTGACATTTAAAAAATGAGACATTTTTAAATTGGTGTCTATTTTCATTGGTGCCACTTTTGTTTAATTTGAATCTTCTGTTTTTCTGCAGCAAAAGTACTTTGACTCTGGTGACTACAACATGGCAAAAGCGAAGATAAAGAACAAACAGCTGCCAACAGCTGCACCAGAGAAGACCGAGATCACAGGGGACCACATCCCCACCCCCCAGGACCTGCCCCAGAGGAAACCCTCTCTTGTGGCCAGTAAACTGGCAGGCTGATGTACACACAGCCTCAGATGGCCCCCTCAGCACCTCCCAGCCCCTAATCTTCTCCACTTAAGTCTCAGAGATTTAATATTACCTCTCCTATGTCTCACTTTATCACTCCACCCTCTCCACACTGGCCTGGGCCCCACCCAACTGGATTCCACACCTCCAGGTCAACCATGTCAAATCCTCTTTTTTGTTTCAACCCACCCTTTGGCTTTTTCTCTACTGCCACCACATCCTTTCCTCTGTTATTGTCCTCCTACATTTCCTTCATGTCTTGTCTTTACCTCCATGTTTGTCCATGTACACTGAAGAAACAGTCTGTGATGCCTCTGAACAATGGATGGACAGCAGATATGACTGTTTACGAGCTGAAGTGAGGGGCGAGCAGCAGAAGCTTGCATCTTGTGAGGTTTGGGCGTGGGGGGGATTTAGTGTGGTGTTCAGTATGGAGATTATGATTGTGTGTGTGTGTATGTATCTGATATATATTTGTCTGGCACAGGGGCAGAATGTTTTACATCAGATTTGTATTATTCACTGTATGACCTTACTCTAAATTATGCTGTCAATATGCTTGAATGATTGAATATAGTAATTCAGAGGCCAAGTTCCGTTTTATTAACACTATGATTGTGTCTGCATTAAAGGACCTTGCAGTAAAGGCTGGGGTGTCACTTTGAACTGCATGTGTGATGCTGGGCTCCCGAAGGTGAAGCTTCACATACTGCATTTTTATTCATCAAGGTGCACTGAGCAGATGTTTAAAAGAGATGCTAAAAAGCTTGGGTGCGGCTCAAATGCTGGTAGCAGGTAGTTCCTTCAAGAAGTGTCAGAAATAGATCCTCTTCTTAAAAGAGCAAAATGCAGTGTTTTTAAGTTTACACTGTGTGCTGCTCCATTTTATATGCAGACACAGTCCTCTCCTAAGGATGGAGTCATCATGAATGAATCAGGTTTTAAAGGGTTTGAGGGGATACAGGACCTGAAGGGTAAAATCCTTCAGAGGGACCAGTCTTTATGCTGTATACATTGGTGGACAAAAACAAGGAACAAATAGTGTAAGTTTTGGGGAAATAATCTTGTGTAATCATGACTTAAAGTAGTTTTATCTTTAGCCCTGCATAGTGCTTTTCCAGAAGTTTTTACTGGCCAGATGCAATTTACTTGTGGTGTGATAAATCAAAGCTAGGACATCTGTCCAAGTTGTGCATGTACATGGCTGCCCTGCTGTCACATTGTGCCATTTTGTTTTGTAAATAAAGTAGTTTTGCACAATACTTTTGTGTAATCTTTAAAGACCTACGATGTATTTCAGGTGCTTTCAGATTGCTAATGTTTACATGGTAAATCTGTTTACATAGTAAGATTTAAAATAGTTTATTTTCTAGAAGTTAGAATATTTCTGTGTTCCATGAGCCAGAATTTAAGTACAGCTTATAACAAAATAGTTTAAATAAGAATAAATATTCAAGCATCCATTTTCTTCTGCTTACCTTGGAATATGGTCACACAAGCAGAGGAGCCTAAATGTTTAGGCACGCCAGATTTGTCCAACTCGCCACTAGGTGGTGATAAGTTGACAGCTCAGTTCCTCTCTTCACCCAAGTGTCCAGAAGATATACTTGCAGATCTGATGATACTGTTACAAAATCCACCCTCGACATGCAACCAGGGTGTCCTGGTGTCATGTGCGCTTAGGGGCACCCTTCTGTTCGAACATGGTGTTCGAACAGAACATTAGGCAGACCGTTCCTCCCAGTCACGCCCCACCAGGTCTCAGTGTCGTTTCCCCTGTAAGCATTAAAGTCCACCAGTAGGATGACAAAGTCACTAAATGGAGGACACTCAAGAGCCACACCCCGTCACTCCCAGAAGGCTGTGTTCTCTAAAATATCATTCGGTCCATAGGCACAAACCCAGTCACTGGCACAGGTAAGCAACCCCCTCATCCATGGGCGAAACCCCCCAGGGTGCTCACAGCAAGCAATAGGGATACAAGGATACCCACCCTTGCCCACCGCCTCTCATTAAGGGCAACTCCAGGTGGCCTACATGGGTTAAGGCCTAAGTGCTCTCCCTTAAGCTCCCTCCCATTCCTGACTCCAGGGTGAGGCCTAGGTAGCCCTATCCCAGTCAGGGTAAGCTGGTCCCTTGTTCTCTTTTCCATTTCCTCACTCAGGACTAATTTGCCTTGGGAGACCTAACCAGGGCCAAAAACTTCAAACAAAATGGAGCCTGGGCTGTCATTAAAATACAACAGAATGAATACATCAATGGGGTGAAGAATACAAGAACAGCTTGGTAGAACGAAAAGGAGCTAAATACTTAAAACTAATTACAATACAATGTCATGTGAAGATGAATATGAATTATACACTGGTTCAACTCTTCGGTAAGGCAAATATTTAATCAATCACATGGCAGAAACTCATTGCATTTGGGTATTAAGACATGGTAAAGACAGCCTGCTGGATTTCAAACATCGGAATGAGGGGAAAAAGGTGATTTAATGGACTTATGACAGTTAGATGGTCTCATCTGACTATTTCAGAAAATGCGGATGTACTGAGATTTTTCCATACAACCATCTCTAGAGTTAACCGAGAATTGTCTGAAAAAAATAAAGAAAATATTCAGTGAGCAGCAGTTCTCTGGGTGAAAGTGGCTTGTTGATGCCAGTGATCAGAGGAGAATGGCCAGACTGCTTGGAACTAATAGGAAAGTAACAGAAGCTAAAATAATCACTCATTACAACCAAGGTACGCAGAAGAGCATCTCTGGACACAACATGTCGAATCTTTGAAGCAGATTAGCTACAGCAGCAAAAAAAGTACACCAGGTGCCACTCATGGGTGGTTTTAAACAACACAGCCTACCTGAGTATTGTTGCTGACCATGTCAGTGGATACACCACAGTGTACAGCAGGATAACACACATTGTCGCAAAGATCAAATCATCTCAAGCCAGTTTCTTGAGCCTTCAGTTTGTGCCAACTCTGGGGACAAATGTGTAAAATATTATAACAGCCAAGAGAGCATTTGTGGTTTTCATGCATTTATGATGATGATAAGGAGGAAGGAAGCACGCACATGCATGCATAAGTGTTAATATTAGTATATTATTAATATTAACACAGTTTTCGACGTGAATTTTAAATATTAGATTCTGATCTAACAGATGTCTAAACTCATCTGTTGTTAAGTTTCAGCCCCACTTTTCATATTTGTTGTCATTCCAGTTGTGCCCTGGCAGAATTTGTGATTTTTGGCCATTTTTCAGAGAATATGAATGACAATACAAAAACGTTTCTTTTACTCGTGGTCAGTCGTTGTGTTTGCCCTTTTCAAATCAGAATGACACTGATCAGAAATTTACATACCCTACCAAAAGTTTACATACCCTAGTTCCAGCACCGGATCCCCGCAGAGCTGCATTCCCAGCCGTCACTCCCAGAAGGCTGTACACCCTGTACACCTATAACTGCACACCAACCCAACCTAGCAGTGGCTGCACTTCCTCGATGCCCTAAGGAAGAATAAACTGGACCGGATAAACTGGACCTGCTGCTGACCTTCTAGCGCTCCTCAGTGGACAGCGGGCTCTCCGATTGGCTGGGTGTTTGGTACAGGGGCCACTACTAAGAACAGGAAGGCTGTGCAGCGGGTACCCCTCTGAGACTATCACCACATACTCTTGTCTCAGAAAAACCAGGGCCATCACAGGTGACCCCTTGTACCCCTCTCACCAGCTGTTTGGCCCACTGGCCTCTGGTCAATCAGGTCCCACACCTCCAGACTTACAAATAGCTTCTTCACACGCAGACTCAGACCAAGTCTTTTCTTTGCATTACTTCTAAGCACTTTGCAACCATTTTGTTCTCTGATTTTTTATACACACACACACACACACACACTACAAGTAAACAGATCACAGGTGAGGAGGGTTACCTTTAGTAGTCATTTAAACCTCTTTGTGTCAACTTGTGTGTGTGTGTGTGTTATCATGCCAAAACTTCGAGGGTATGTAAACTTTTGATCAGTGTCATTTGGGTAGTTTGTGTCGTTATTTTGATTTAAAAAGGGCAAACACAACCACTGGCCACGAGTGAAAGAAAAGTTTTTGTAATATAATTCCTATTCTTTGAAAAATGGCCAAAAATCACAAATTCTTCCAGGGTATGTAAACTTATGAGCACAACTGTACATCAAACTTAGTATTCACCTCACCCTTACAGGGTGTGCACAGCGGGTTTTATCACATCAACAGAGTGAGTGACACAACGGTCACCTTGTGTGGTTAGCATTATACATCACAGTCACTGCAGAAAATGTATTTTACTGACAGAGAATGTTTTTTTAATCATCATTATGATCAAAATTATTTTAATAGGGACAATGCAATTTAACAGTGACACAATACAGACCTTGACAGTGACGTGCTGTATAGATACAAATATTTTTAATTTCCAGTCCTTGTCCCTAGGTGGGTTTTTACATCGACAATTCACAAATAATATATGACTCGCTCAGTTAACCAGAATATGTCACCTAAGGTTTTTGCTATATGTATATACAATTATGAAAATGAAACACAAATATATACCATTAAGGAGGCATTGTCACCAAGTGTATGAAAACTCAAAGAGGTGCCTGCATTGCTGGATGCAATAAATGCACTGAACATGAGTAGGTTTTATATCTGCCTAACCAATTGCATCAATGCCATTATATTATATATATATATATCCCTGATGTTGGCTGCTGGGTGTGTGGAGAGATCACTTACTGTTTCCTTACTTGTCTTCTTAGGCACTGATTTTTCTGACTCACGCTAGGGTAGTACACACTACATGTAGATTATTTATCAGTTATCTGTCCTATATAAGTCGTGATTCTGACTGGATATTATTGCCATTGGTCTTGTGAACTATCACAGGTGATTTAACGTGGCGCTGTCCTGTGTTTCATTGTCTGATGAAGAGCTGGTGTGCTCAAAACGTCATACA